TATGCACGCCAAGGTACTTCAAGGTTTATGTGGATGGGTCAGTTTTTTCATATTTATAAGTACTTATAAGACATAGGCTGGAACTCTGGACTCCATCTAAAAGGAGAGAGCGGTCTTTATTGGCTGTACTTGCCAACTTAGTAGATATAAAAAAAAAAAAAAGGAAATCAAGATTTGGCAACACGAGATGGACAGAAGCAAAAGAAGTTTCTAATAAACTCAATTCCAAGAGACAGGGTTACAACCCACAAAGACAGAAGGGTGATACCTAATGTCACTGGAGACTGGGAACCAAAATCAGTTTCCTTGGTTATAAAAGATGTGTTTTATTAGTATAGCAAAGAGAAAATCCATTCAAGCACATTTATAACTGAAGAGTCTCAAGGGGGAAAAATACTAATACAAATATAAAACCAAATTGCTATTCATGAAGGCAAAATTCAGTGCTACATCTCTGACCACTCTTCCCTTGCACTCTAACTACAGCAGCCTTGATAAACTACTCAGCATTCCCTCTACCTGGAATAGTTTACCCGTCCTGAACACATGTATGTCAACACACACACACACACCATTACCTTTCTCCTAGCTAATATCCTTTAGGTGTTAGCTTAGATGTTATTTCTTCCAGGAAACCTACTGCAATATCCCTAAGACCATATAAGGTGCCATCTCCAACACCCTAAAATAGTGTAGCAGTATGAGTCACTTGTGAAACAAGAATTGCCTGTTTACTTATCTGCTTCTTCCATTAAACTCTAAGTTCCTTGATTACAAGAACTCACTGTGCCTTCATCATTATTGTATCCTTAGGAGTTAGCATAATGCATGCCACAAAGTATATAGGTGCTCAATATAAATTTTCTGAATGAATGCATACATTTTGCAATATAGAAAGCAAGTCCTGTCATCATCAGGCTTCTAAGATGTATTCTTTTCTAAAATACATTTCCTGGGATAAAACCAGTTCCAATTATTTCAAAGAGCCATCAAGTTGGACATGCACATATTATTGCTTGCATATTGTGGTAACCATTAGGACTGGTTGCAAATATACTGCTTCTGTCCTTCACCCAGTGAAATGTGAGAAGGGATTGTGTCACTTCCAGGTGGAAGCTTTAAGAGCTGGTGCATGATTCCCCATGTCTACTTCCCCCAGTGATGGAAGCATATGTCTCCTTCCCCTGATTATAGAAGCATATTTTAAATAGGAGCCTCTGTCAGGCTGAGTCCCTGAATGAGAAGATACAGAACCCATCCTCCAGCTGACCCCAATGGGCATGTGGTGAGATCAAGAAGTAAATTTCTAATGTCGCAGCATAACAAACTCATTTTAGCTGACACACTTATAGAACAACTACTTCCACCATCTCTTCTTTCTTTCTGTCAGAACTTGCCTCCTTCTCTAGAGGTAGAAAATGCCAAATGTTCTCTTTTTCAGCCTTGAGGCTTCCTTGAGGCTATGTGACAATTCTGGACAAAGAAATGTAAGGGAAATTCTATTTGTGTTTCTACTAAGTATTTTCCACCTTCCAAAAAAGAGATTCTGAGGATAATCCTCGTCTTCCTTTTTGCTGCTGAGTGCAATTGTATGAAGACATGAGGTAGCCGTCTTTTGACTGAGAGGACAAGCCTAAGAATTAAAGTTAATATGTAAAGAAAAAAGCCAGTGACATCAAGCGGCTGCACCAAACCCGAATTTGTCACGTCAAGACTTACTGCTATGTGAGATTGTAAATGTCATCAGTGTTTGTACCCCTGTTGATCGGGAATATTTTGTTACTTACAGCTGAATGCATTCTAACTAATTGTGTGGGGAACATGCAAATTTCCCTCTCTGGCATCATATACAGCATGAAATTCCAAAAGCCAGTATAAACCAGCAGGTCAGATTGGGATACTCAGGGACCAAAAAAATTATTTGAAGAAACTAAAGACATGACAAGATCATCTAATGATAAAATCTTTTGGCTCAAGTTGAAGTCCATGTGCTAACATTAGAAAAGAATAGTTTGCTTGCTTACATTGGAGGAGAAGCATAAAAGGGTAAATTGGAAAGGAAAATTCACAAATATATTCATTCTTGGCCTCTTTGTTCAGAATTAGCTCATAAAACAACTTTATAATTAACTACCTGCCTAGGAAACTCTCAGTTGCCCTAGTAGTAAAAAATGTCAACCATATGTATTTTCCCAACAGTCAAGCTTTGGAGGGCAGGAAGGAACTGAAGTGGTTCCCTTATGCTTGGGTAGTTACTTACAGACATCATTTATATCACTTTTCAACCTGATTTACATGGAATACACCACCATTTGTTCCATCTCTTTAAAAGAAAAAAAGGTGTTCATTTGTCTACATCACTTCTCATTAGAAAATACTTCCCTAAGTGTAATTATTAATTTACTCAAACATTCTATTGAACATTGACAATTTACATAATACTCATTGAAAAATAGAGAGGGATAATTCAGTACTTCTTAAAGAAGTCACAGCATCCTTAAAACAAGAGTAGACAGAGTACAATAAATAAAACACAGACATTTTGATGTGAGAAACAAAATCTTCTCCAAAAGTGTTCTGCCACCAATCCAACCCCCTTCTGTCCACATTCTCCTCCTATTTCAGGAGTGTTCTCCACATGGTTTGGCTCCAATGAGCCACTCCCAGCAGAAGCCAGAGACACAGTTTTGATCTATGTTTTTATACTAACAGATCAGATCAACCTCTTCATGGTAGTCTTTTATGCTCATGTGAATAACTATGGGATCTATAATACAGGGATCTGGTCTTATTTTTACATACAAACTGCAGAAATAGAACTGCAGGAGTTGGAAGAGATGGCAGCTGGCAAGAAAATGGGTTTCTGTGGTTATTTGGGTCCAAGAGTACTGGTGTACAGAGGGATGGGTGCAGAAAGATCATCAACAGGCAATACAATGGCTGCCTTGGTACAGTTGCAAGTAAACAACAGAGATTCACAGGCCGACTGAGGAAAACTTCAATGGCAATCATGGAGGTGGTAGAAAATCATTCAAAAACTCTTCTGGTTTATATGAAAAACACTTTTTAAAATCATATCATCAGTTCTAATATAATTTATCTATCTGGGGTCAACTACTTTCAGAATCACCTGCTCTTTTAGGCCTCTGAACTTTTACACTAAATACTGCGATGTCATTGTTACCCTTTGAAATCCTGATTAGCTAATTCTCCAGTAGTTAACTTCCACGGAAACAGCCTCTAGAGTACCAATTCATCAAAAAGCGTTCCAGGTTCATTCTAATGCAGTACAGCATGTTTAGTCGTACATAAATGGATATTAGATTACCATTATTAGTAGCATTACTATGTTCAACCTCTAAAGTCTGTTTTTGAAATAAACGTGATTTTTCCCTAAAATGCCAAAGCTTTTACACACATACAAATAGCATCACTTGGTTTTCGGAAATTTTATTTTGCAGCCTGGGAGCTCCTAACTTGGATAATTTTAAATGCAACTAGTACTTTCAGGCAATTGATATCAGGTTGTCGTACCTCATTCTTTGGGACATTAGACTGGAAATTTCATAATGCCCCAAAATAGCTTTCGAAACTTTTTCCAAATTTTCTGGAGCTTCTTTTCTCCAAATTAGAGTATCCAACACAGATGATATATAAGATGTGACTTGAAGATTACTGATTTTTAAATGCCTCCCCAGAATTTATATTGAATTGAATATTTTCTCCTTCAAAATAGTCACCTTTTGACACTTATACATTCATCCTAAATATGATCTCACTAATTGTCAAGGCCAGGCACTAGCACGATGCTGGGTATGAGAGTAAGTCTTCACAAATATTCTATAATTGATGGGCCCACGAGTGAGTGATAAAAGAACACATCAGTGAATTTAGAGCCTCCCCCTTGGAGGACTCAATTCCAAGCCAATAACACTTTCATTTTAATATCTACACTAATGGCAAAGCTTTGTGGTTTGGAGGTAAATTTGATTAGTGAAAACAGTCAAAAAATCACTTAAAAAATCCTAGGAATGAGACACAATTCAGTGGGATAAGGACACTTAGGGAAACACAAGGCATGATCAAAATATTACAAGTTTGACTTTCTCATAATTGGGCTCTGAAAGCAATTCTAGAAATGGTTTGAGTATCAACAAAACTCTGGATTAGGCATGTCAATTCCAGGGTGATGGCTTTGAAAGGTTATGCTCAGTACAGAAAAACTGGCATGCTAATTTTCTCTACTTGAGCTTATACATCTGTTGTCAATTTTTTTTTTTTTTTTTTT